ATTTTACATTACAATATTTCATACGAAAAAGAGCTAGAAATATAATACCAATGACACTGTTCAGGCAGAACAGGGACCTGCCGGGGAGTGGACTGGAATGCAAGGGCTGGCTCCTGTAATGGGGGGGGGTGACTCTGGACCCTGGTGACCCCCCAGGGGACAGGCATGGGACGAGGGGGTTCCCGCACACGGAGCAGCTGACAGTCCAACTGGCCGGTCCGGACACTCCGAGAAAGCCGCGGTCACACCGAGGCCAACGGTGCGCACTTCCGCCCTCAGCCTCTGCCAGGGACTGTGTGTATTTACTGAGGGGCAAATGAAAAAGTAACTCGAGAATTCCAAAATCAGCAGACATTAAGAAATAAAGTGTATTTTCATATTCATTTCTGAGTTTTAAATCAAGGATCTACAACATCTGGCCCTAAAAATAAGCCCCTTCTACATTCTCTTATGTTATCCAAATTTAAGGCACATGGACAGTTTAACCCCACATGATAACTGCCCCCCAAATCTCTTTCTTCCTCCTCAAATCATTTACTGTGGCTAATAATTATCAAAATTTGACTAATATGCATTTTCCGAGCTTCCTTTTATACAGAACCTGCCCAGATGTCACCACCATTGTAAAACAAACAAACCAGAACAAAAAGAATGTGATGCCTGAGGTCACTCACATGGTGCCTCAAGGAAGCAAAAGCAAGCTCTAGGTAAGCTCTGAGGATTTATTACCATTACCATTATTATCAGCATAACATAAAGTAATGTATTTTTCTCACATTCCTTAATTTAAACATCCTTTCACATTTACAATGTCATCTAAATCTATAAAAACAAACTCGGGAGAGTGACGTGTCTGGCTGAGTCCCATAGAAAGTGAGGATGGGGACGCTGAGAGCAAAGACTGTTCCGGAATGTGACCACTGCCTGAGCACAGCAGGACGTGCCAGTTAGATCTGGGGTGGAACAGAGATTGCTTCTTCCAAGTCCCCTCAGAGACTGGCCAGTCTTCTTCTCCCCCACGGCCCGCAACTTGTGGTTTTGTGCAGATTCCTACAAGAGGCCATTGCCCTGCCCTGAGCAGGCGTGGGAGACATTTTCCCTTGCCTGGGCAGTCCCCTTATCTGTTCCGCCCTGTTCTATATAACCCTTTCGCCCTTTAGCACCTGCCACCCGACAAGGAGGATATCTTGAGGCTGCCAGGGACACACCGAGTACGTGATTTCCCTTAGTAAACTCTTTGTGCAATCATATTGTCGGCCTCTTCCTCTGGTCTCTCAGCTCTGGAAAATTTTCCCAGCAGGGCTAGAACCCAGCTCCAGGCAGCAGTTTCCCATTGTCTCGCCAGATCTCTCACTCCAGCCAGAGCTGTCAAGGAGTAAGGAGCCGTGAGAATATCATCCGGAGACTCAGAAGCAATTTGATTCTAGATTAGGAGGTCATGCTCTATGGCATCTTTTTAGGGTTGAGCATGCCACAAGCCACCAACACTGAACCCTTCCTGGAATTTCCACACTGGATTTCACTACGTTCTGAACCGGGCATGGGAAAGTCTGGTGCGGGGGCCTGAGATAACTCACCAAAGCAAGTTAAGGGCAGGAACCAGCCCTCACAGAGCATTCACCAAGTGCCAGGACTATACAGATAATTTATCTACCCTTCCTCCCTGATTCCCTCAGGGTCAGTTACCCTATTTTACCTGATGAAACCAGAGGGAAAAATTGAATGGCTTGACCAAGGGCTCACTCATTAGCTCAGGGTCAGGCCTTGAACTCAGACCCTGGGCCATCACGGTCCTGTCTCTCCCACCGAGCTCCACTCTGTCACAGGAGGGGGTCTCTCAGCTGCAGCACCAAAGGTCTCTCTGCTCCACAGTGGAGGGGGCTGGAACGCTGCTTCCTATTCCGAACCCACTTTTAAAAACCCTGTTAATTAGTATAACATTGAATCTGAATTCTAATTCTTAAAGCAACAATAGGGAAACAAATTTAAACATGAGAAAACTGAGAAACATTAAAAGCTGTGTGTGCTCTCCAGAGGGGGAGCGTGAAGACTGGGGTTCAAATTACAAAGAGGTTGTTGAAGTTCAAAGAAAAACATGGGGTAAATTTCCTAGAATTGACAGTGTCTTTTTAAAATAAAATGTACTTATGTATTAAGAGCATTTTAAATCCCTTCAGCCAGAGGTCTTAAAGTGAGGAGAGAGATGCTTAAAGTTTCTATAAACCTTAATAACTAATATATGTGATCAGTTGATTTTCTTTTAGTTAATTCCTGCGGGAAAAAGAGGAATGGATAGCATGGGAATTCTCAGGTCTTTATTTCTATAAAGTTAAACAGCAAAAGCTATTAATTAATGCACTACCACGACTAGACATGTCTATATATAAGTAATATATACATTAACAACAAGAACGCTAACACTAATGAAACACTTGCTGTCATGATGTCAGGCTCTGTTTTAAGTGCTTTACCTTATGATCTCATTTGATCCTCTCAACACCTACTTGCTCTAGTCTCCGTAAGAGGAGGTTGACTCACACCCCAAAGTCATACAGCCAGCAAACAGTGGGGCCAGGACTTGAATCACACAGTCTGACCCCAGGACCTGAACTCTAACCCACGTATGACATGTCCCTTACCTAAACCTCCCCATAATCCTGTGTCCTGCCAGTTCCTTTGTATGTAAGAAAACCATGGCCCAGGTGGGTTAAGCAGTTGAAACAAAGCTCAGTTTCAGTTTCAAGTCAGTCTGTCTCTGGAACCTTATTTCTTTTCATTCATGTGTTTTAACTGTGTATTAAAATGCTTAGGCTACAGATTGCCCTTCTTTTGTAAATGACTGTTTACTCTTCCCGAAATAGGACGTGTATGCACTCTGATAACACAGAGTGAAAAGCTTCCAGTCCTGGCAGTTCCTGTACAGAGGTCTGACCCTCGCTGTTAGGGGCCGAGCTCCTCACAGCAGCTTCTTTCTGCTCTGTTATTATAGAAACTGGTGCTATTTGACTTTTCAATCCCTTCTTTCTCCAGTGGCCGAAAGAAGCCACTTTCACAAAGAGCTGCTCTGCGTAGAATCCAGAGGTTTCTAGCCTGCTACAAAGTGATTAGGGGGAAACAGGGGGAAAAAAAGAACAAGAAAACTAACCCCGAAGCAATCATACTTCTCATGTCTCTGGATAGAGAAGTATGGGTTACCTTCAGCCAAAGCAAATTAAAAGTGTGCAAGTTAACTAACTCACGGTTAGATAGACTTGTTCACTTAAGGCTTCAACCCCTTTCCAAATCAACAACTATCTTCATCCAGCTATGCTTGCTCATATGTGAAAGCCACGTTCACTCCAGACTCATTCCCCACTGGGCCTCTGCATTTGGTACACGGCAGTGAACATGCTTTCCCAATAGCGCTGAAGACGTGGCTAACGACGAAGAATCCAACTGAAGAGCAATGCTCTCTCAACCCCAGAGTATGTTATTTACACGTCCCTTTCCTTCCCATTATAAGCAAGAATCTACTGAATTCAATCCTCTTCAAATGAGCACCATCATCACAATTTTCAATTTTGAGGAAACTACCTCTAATTTTTCATTAAAGGAAAAATGAACGAACATACCCTCCCACCTTAAGACCACTTCCAATCCCATCACTTTCACTGCAAGGGTAGAAAACTGGTTAAGATCACCCAAATCCAATGTCACCAAGGCATTGATAAAACAGAAAGCAGTAACAACCATCCTCATCACACTCCTGGGGACGTGCTGGCTTCTGAGCCAACCATTTACCGACAGTAAGTGATGCCGGCTCGAAAGCAACAGCTCTTAGGTTAGAGTTTCTCCAGCTTATTCTGGAATGGAGAGAGGCAATTTCACACACATGCACAATCTGGAGAAGCTACAAATGTTAACTTTTAAACACCAAAAAATTGATAACTGATTTTAAAAAAAGCTCATAAACAGCCCAGTAAAGAGACCAAATTCTGCAAGGGGAAAACTTAAAGTCCACTGAGCAAACCTTTCCTAGATTCAACCAAATGCTACAATACCAGATTTTTAAGTTTTCAAATCACAGAATTAAGAGCCTTTAACCTGTTAACTTTAACCTGTATGACTCTCCTATTCAGAAAAATCCCCCCCAAAATATGTGCAATGGATTGCACAGAATCTGACACACCGGCAGTGGGTTGCATGACAACATAGGAGGTGTCCTCAGTGCTCTCGAGAGGAGGCAAAAGTCACCCTTTATAACCGAAAATGAAAAAGGTGCTATGAGGAGAAATAAAACTTTACCACAGTTCATTAAAAGCAGGCTGGCTGAAATGTGTGACTTTATAAGTCATAATAATGATAACTCACTCTGTAATTAACTCCTCCACAGTGAGCAATCTGCTCTACACTCTGTGATGAGGAATAACCCTCACTCGCCACAATCAAAACTGCTGCAACTGCAAAGCCAGGGCTCTGCCCTTCCCTGCTCTGTGCACAAGGCGCTGCCGCCTGCCACAGGGCAGTCAGACAGGCAGGGGGGCTTCTCCCCCCAGCCTGCTAACTCTACAGGACTGAGTGACTGAGCTCTGGCCTCCAGCATGTATCTGTGCATAATTTTATGAAGTATCTATATGCCATTCACTAGATTTTAAAAAAAGGAATAGAAAACTCTGGACCAAGTACATTACAAACTCAAATAGTTAGAAGGGAAACCAACTACATTAACAACGCTTTCTTTAGAAAATAGAATCACTTTTTTTTATTCAACCACAGTGGGGAGACATGTTTTTCTTTGCAGGTGTCCCATGATGGCACACAGCTTTACCCAGAAAATCCTGCCAGCTCCCAAGTCCTGGGGTGCTCGCTGCACCCGCACATGGGGCAGTGTTGCCTCCTGACAGTGTGGCAAGAGCAATGGGCGCTGAGAGAGCTGACGGACACTCTTGGCTTCTCAACGCCAGACACGCTTGTGGGGAGCTTTCCTTGTTCTGTTAGAAAAGTTCATGAGGAAGCTGGGAATAGGATCAGTCAAGAGAAGTAAAACTCTCTTATTTTCACTGTCCAAATATCAGTCAACATTCTGGGAGACCCAGCAGATGCCCTTGCTATAGCCTTGTCTCCTGAGCACACTGTACCTGAACACTTCCATGGGGCAGGGGTTCAGCGCCTTCAGGGTCACAGTCCCCCTTCCTGTGGTCTGTCCATAAAGTCCAAACGTCTTATGGAGTTTTTCTTCATTGATTGCGTTTGATCTGTCAATTTTGTTACCCAAGGTAAGGATTGGCACATTGGATACTGTTTCATCAGTTATTGACACATTAAGTTCAGCTTTGGATTCTGTGAGGTGAGGATGATCTGCATAATCCACCAGAAAGACAGTCCCATTAATTGCTGGGAGATAATTTTTCCAAACCCGACATGGTGGACATGCTTGCTCATGCCCACCAAGATCAAAAGTTGTAAAAGTCATTCCAGCAATCGTCAGCTCTTCTGATGTCAGATGTGATGTTGAAACACGTTGGCCCAATCTGTCCTCTTTGAACACATGTAGAAGAGTGGTTTTGCCTGCGTTGTGCAAACCCAAGAACACAAGTTTTCCAGATTTCTTGTAAAGTCCTAGGAACTGGAGCACACTGCTGACGCCATCGTAGATTTACTCAAGATGAAAGACGTTACTGACGCTTAGCACGGCCCAACGGGCTCCTCCCGCGGCGGCAGGGGCTTCGACCCTCCTCTGAGCACACAGCCCAGCTGCACTGGGGAATGCCCGCTGCAGAACCCTATTTCTTCCACCACGATTTCCCTAAAACAAAAGCAGTGTTACAGGAAATATAGTCAATAGTAATGTAATAACTATATATGGTGTCAGATGGGTACTAGACTTACCGGGGTGATCACTTTGCAATGTATATAAATATCTAATTGTTATATTGTACACCTGAAACTAATATAATACTGTATGTCAGAAGCAGTTAAAATGTTACTTTTTAAAAAAATAAAAATAGGTATTTAAAAAAGAAGAAAATGAAAACAAATTAAAAAAGAGAGATGCTCAAGATGAAGACAAGAGACAGGAAGGCTAACTCTCCAGACCGTCCCCCACCTAGGGCCCTCCCTGGGCCCTCAGCACCTGGGAAGCAGTACCTACAAACGCCTGTGCAGATTGTGGAAGAAGTCCCAGGAGTGGCCAGAGGGCTCGTTTCTTCTGGTCATCTCTACCACAGGCTCCGGTCTGCTGAATCCTCGTCCCCACTCTGCCCTGCGGACTCAGTTTTGGGATCCTGCCCTGCCCCCCCAATTTCCACAGCAGTCTCAGGATAAACTCCGTATGGATGCAGCAGACAGCCCTGCTCTCCTTGACCTTTTGTTTCGCACTGACCCTGACTGCCCCTTCTGATCCTCGTCTCTCTCTTCCTAGTCTCCCCTGGAGCCCTTCATCTCCGGAGCAAGGACTCCTTCCCTTTTCCCAGGCAGAGCAGTTCAGTCTCAGGAGCCTTGCTATCCAAGCCTCTGCTCTAAGGCCTACAATTTCAGACGCAGGAAAATTCTCAAGTTATTTTGCTTTCCAGAAAAGAAGGTAGCTCTTTTTCCCAGAGAAGGCTGGGCTGGCTTTTACAGTAGCAGTCACCCTTGCCACAAAACCTGCCACAGAACTCTTTCATCAGAAGACAATGCGCTGGGAGGAATTTCAGGGCTACGAGACAGAATGTCATGAAAACCTCAGTATACTTCACTTTTTAAACATTCCAAATACCAAACATAATATCAAATTAAACATTGTTTTACTTCCATTTCCTTAAAAAATTGATCATCCATATTATCTAAGGTTGCTTGCTACTAGCCTGCTGCCGTATCCCCCAGTCCCAGAGTTAAGCCAGAAAGAAAGGAATCTCATTGACAAAGCACCAGGCAGCCATGTGGCTCCTGAGGCCTGCCAGTTCCCAGGGAGGCTGATTCCTGGCGGCCTGCCTGGAGGAGTTGGCATTCCTGTGTTCCATGTTTATTCTTGCAATGTCACCCATTAGTTCTATACTCAGTCTCCTAAAGAGACTAACTGACATTTCTGGACTTTTTCACGTAAAAGGGAGCTAACATATCAGCTAAATGCTGCTGCATCGGTGGCTTTTTTTTTTTTTTTTTGGTTTGACTGTGAAACCTCAAACTTTCTCCAGGAAAAGCAGCTGAGGCTCAGTCTCAGCCAGACTTGCAAGAGACTAGCTTGGCAGTATGAAGAATAGAATAAACACAAAATTCTTAAGGAAGGAGATTTGAAAAGAGAGAACTATAGCAGGTAGCCCAGGTGTTAGGCAAACTAGAAGAGACACAAAATTTAAATCTCCTAACTCGACCCCAATGCAGCTGTGTGGCCTTGAGCAAATCATTCGACCTTCTGAGTCTCAACTCCCTAATCTGAAAGTGGAGATAACAATGTCTACCTTGCTGACACAAAGATTGGAGAGAGGTTAAGTCAAAGCACCCAGCACATGCCGACCACATGGTGGGGGTGGGACACTGGATTGCTGCACTGGTTATTAAATTTGAGACTTATATAATTTTTATTTTTTATTTATTTTTATTGTATTTTTCTGATATTTTTGTATTTGCTTCTTTTCATTGTTTTTCTTTGCTTCTATTTTAATGATTTTATTGTATTTTTATTACCATTTAATCCCCTTACATGCCCCCACCTCCACAATCACCACTCTGTTGTCCCTGTCCAGGAGCCCTTTTTCCTTCCTACTCAGTCCCTCTACCACCTGGTCTTCCCCCACTCACCCTCCTTAGCTGTCATCTGCTCTCCATCTGTGAGTCTGTCTCTGTTTTGCTTGTTAGATCAGTTAGTTCATTAGATTCCACACAGGAGTGAGATCATAAGGTATTTGAATCTTTCTGACTGGCTTATTTCACTTAGCATAATGTTCTCCAGGTCTATCCATACTGTTGCAAAGGGCAAATTATTTTTATGGCTGAGTAGTATTCCATTGTGTGAATGTTCCATAGTCCTCTTATCCACTCATCTACTGATGGGCACTTGGGCTGCAGTATTTATTGTTAAAATATTTACTGGGTACCTATCATGTGCCAGGCTCTGGACTAGCCATCACTACCCTAGTGGGTAGAGTGCAAAAAGGTCAGACCCATAGAATTTCTGGCCCATAGAATTTCAATTCTAAGGAGATAAAATAGGCTTTAAATACATAATGACATAATGAATTTTTTAATTGCAATTGTGACAAATGCTACTAAGGGTAAGTATGGGTATTGTGAAAACCCTAAACAAAGACTGGCTGGCTAGAGTTGTTTTCTAACGCAGTGGGCGAGGCTGCCAGGAGACGGCACTGTCGAAGTGGAGTGAAATGGGAGAGGTGGGAGTAGGGTGGGCACCAGGAGAGCCTCACACCCAAGACCTGGATGAAGCATCTCTGTGAGGGCCGGCGTGCAAGAGGGGGAGAGGGAAGAGGTGGGGGTGGAGGATGCAGAGCGGGCAGGTTGTGTTGAGAGTCCTGGACGGTATCCCTCAGGAGACTGGGGAATCACTAAGAAGCTTTCACAGGACAGTGGGTGATCCAGCTTCATAGCAAATGTGTCACTGTGGCTGTTTTGAGGACGACACCAGAGGGAGCCCAAGAAAAAGCCTGGAGCCGTAATCAAGAGGCTGCTGGTACAATTCTGGAAGAGGAATAGCAGAGATGTGTTGAAATGGTGCTGTGGCTCCAGCCTATCTGCTACTACAGGGATAGAGACCTAAGACGTTTGTTAAAAATACAGGTTCCCAGGCTCCCACTCTAGATATTCCATTTAGGCGGGTCCGGGAATCTGTACTTCAAAACAAGCTTCCCCGGTCATACTTCTCACTGGCAACTTTGTCCAGAGCTACCCTGCAGAATTTCCTGGGGAATAGGCCTGCGTTCCCCTTGTAAAATGAATGGTATTTCTAAAGACTGTACTTCTCCTGACCCCCAGCAGCAAAGGATCCAGGTGTTAACTTAGTTCACATAGTGTTTTTCCTACTTAGAACTTCAGCTGTAACATTTCCAACATTCAAATGATCTAAATTGGTGGGGGGTTTTTTAAGTGAGTTTCTTAAAATATGGGGTTTTTAATGTTAATAGATGTATAGCTGTCAGGGAGAGAAGAAGCAGGCGCTCCTTGACTGAGAAAACTGCCAGGAGCGGCTGGAGTGGAGAGCGGTGGAATGGCGCCTCCGCCTACTTCTGTGTTTTATAAAATACCAGCAAACAAAGCTCAGGGATGCCTCTCCCGCCCGTCAGCTGTTCAGCTGGAGACTTTGTTACTTGCCCCCAGCCTCTGCTGGCATCTCCAGAAATGCATTCTGTCCTTAGAGAATTCTTTTCAGTATTGGCCTAGTTGCATATTGTCCAGTTGTGTGGGAAGGAAGCCTTGTGTAGTCTATCCAGGCGTCTTCTCCCTCGGCTCGTCCACAGAGAGGCAGCATACATGGTGGATTAAAGAATGAGTCTGAGGATTTCACTCCCACTGCTCAGTTCCTGGCTTTGGCTTATTAAATGGAGAAGCTACTTAACCTTTTTGCTCTTCAGTTTTCTCATCTGAAAAAGGAAATGATAACAGTATATTAGTTTGCTAGGGCTTCGATAACAAAGTACCACAGATTGGAGGGCTTGGACCATAGGAATTTATTTTCTCTTAACTCTGGAAGCTAGAAGTCTGAGATCAAGGCGTTGGTAACGGTTGGTTTCTTCAGATGACTGTCTTCTCACTAGGTGTTCTCGTGGTCTTTCCTCTGTACATGTCCACATACAGAGGATTAGTCTCTACTCTAATGGTCTTATTTTACCTTTTTAAAGACCATATTTTCAAATATAACTACATTCAGAGGTATCAGGGAAGTGGAATTTCAACATACAAATTTAGGGGAACACAATCAGCCCTTAACAAATAATATCCATCCAGCAGAGCTATCACCAGTATTAAAAGACCTAATGCATGCACCTGCTGTGTAGTAAGTGTTCAATAAATGTTGTCTGTTATTGTCCACTCCTAATAGTGAACAACTGTCCCATGTCAGGTACTGTGGTTAAAGCATTGGCAGTGCAGTGAAGAACAAGATGGTAAAGTCTCTGTGCTAGGGAGGCTCACATTCTTAGAGGGTCAGATGAAACAGGTGAATGAGATCAAAGGCACCAAGGAATAGTGAAACATGGGAATGGAAAGAGCAGAGGTGGACATACTTTTTCTGTAAAGGGTCAGATAGTAAATATGTTCAGCTTTGTGGGCCACTGACACAGACCCTGGCTTGTGGGGTCCATGGCATTATGGATGAGACATGAGACAAATTCACATGGACTACTGAGTCCTGTGGAGGAAAAGGGATGGCACAGCCACCGTCTCTAGGGAAGAGCTCCTCGAAGTACCTAGACCACTCTCTCAAGAGGAGAGCACACTGACCCTTGCCTTGACAAGCTTTTATTGCTTTTCTGGGCACATTACATTGAGGATGGTCCTCATTTACTATGCACAGAACTATGCACAGAACTATGCAGAGGTTCTGTTTTAGGTGGTTACCTTTTACAGAAAACAAAGAAAAGAATGTTGCTAATTACTTCAAAGAGAAGGATGTTACAGGTCAAGGGGACAAGTGGTTGAACTGGTTACACACCATAGTTGGGA